GATATAATATATAACATGGTATCAATAGAATTAAATCTATTATTACCCTTATATATCCGTGCGCCGACTCGATGCCCACCAGCTCATCTAGATCCGTCTGGGGCTCAGGCCTCCATCTTTCTCCTCCTGTCCACGTTTCCTTCGACGTGGTCGCTGGTCATTGGTCTATTCGTACTGCGCAGTTGGACAACGCGTCGACTATGCCGTGATGACCAGTGACAACTGCGGGCGATGAGTCCGCGGGCGACCGCGTGAGGGGACGATTCTAACTCGGTGCTTGTAATGCACCGTATGGGGGTAATAACGAAGTATAACGGTAATTAATGCACTGGAAGGCAAAGAGCTGAATGTGGAATACAGATACTAAAATTACGCGTAGTGCTAACCATATGCGCGGAGCTCTGCTACAATTGTGTATTTTAAAGGCGAGACGAGGCTTGCAAAGCCAGAGAGGCATATTCATAATAACTTGCTGCACAATTTGATAACAATGCTGTATATCTAGAAGCTTTGACTACATAGAATCATAGAATCGTTCGAACTGTTTAGAATATTTGTCAAATATTTCTTATTTGATTGTTTTCTGCTGTACGAATCTATCCTTAGAATTAAGTTTTTTTTAAAGTTATAAAGGTAGACGAGCCACCAGCTACCCTAGAGTGTCGGCTGAGAATTAGCCTTACGTGTATACCATTCTTGTGGGAGGGTGAAAACTGTCTTTCTATCATCCAGAATCTCTACCATAGATTGAGTCCGTGCGGCCGGATGGTATTTAGATTGTGAATCTAGTACCGTTTCTCTTTCTGTCTGATGGGGACGTATGGGTGAAGGGGGTGAAAATATTTTAAATTGTAAGTAAAAATTGTAGTAGTAAATTGTAAGTATATGTGGCTAAATTTGCTCTAAAGTTGTTCCTATGCGTTCCCGAGCAACGCCGGGTACCAGGCTAGTATATATATATATATATATATACGTACTATATGTAATAAGTTCAGATACTGTTGTTGAGCGTGTACAGTTTAACTTTCAGAGAGGTTTGATTTTGACACAGCCATATCTTCGCATCTATGCCTTCATATGGTAACAATACGAGACATGGAAGGCCAATCAAAAAACTATGATGAAAATGTTAACGCAAATGAAAATCCCGCAGAAATCAATACCGTCACAGTATTTATTTGATTAAAACTCATATAGCCACTTGCCGCGCGGATATAATCGTATTCATTATATATTATATATAATATATGTAGTTCTTAAAAAGTGAATCGAAATGCTCGCTACCCTGTGGTCGTCTGGCTTCTAACTTCTAACTTAGTATAGCAATTTCTTAAATGAAACTTTTTTTGTTACAATTTTTATATATACATTATAATAGCACAACACAAACCACGCAAACAAATCCCCGTGGGTAGCTCAGTCGAGCTGTGCCCGTAGAGGCTGTCCAGGCCTCTTCTTACAGATGTCCCTAACCTATATATAATATCAGTATATATATATATATATATATATAATGTTGAATCGAAACCAAATCGCTGTTGTGATCCTGTCTGGGAAGATTAAATTGTATAATGTACGAGCGTTTTGTCATCAACTTAACATGCCCGGCGCAATAATTGTAGCGCGTAGATATCACGTATATATCACCTTCTTTTAAGCATTCTCACTTTCTTATTCACAAATTTGTCTATCTATCTTCACACGCACGCACGAGCGGGAATGAAATTCGTGTAGGATGTTTACGTGTAAAATGTGAATAATAAAATGTAATTTAACCGAGTTTAACTTACTAACTCGGTTTAACGTAAATATATCTTCCTATGCGTGTCATTGAATAATTCTGTACAGGTCCAATTTCCTCTTTATAATCAACGCACTAGCATAGGCGCAACTTCAAGCTTATAGAGCTCGATACGATATGTGACGAGATATGCTAGTGCGTTGATTGCTTTGCTCATGTACAATATATCCGCCTATGGCTCTTGTTATCTCCCTTCCTCTGCACAGGTTTGGAGCCCAACTAGCTCGCACGTCGACCTTATTTGCAATAATGGACCACTTCGAGAAACGTAGCGACAAAAACATTTTGATTCGCATGGCATGATTTTATAGGTGTTCGCGCGATCAAGGCGTATATTAATCATACGGTACATCGTTTCTATGCTGTAAATAATACCCGCTCGCACAGCAGTGAATCATTTCGTAGCTAGCCCAAGGCTTTCGCGCACACTCCGGATTATCTCCGCTTTTCATATTTACCCTTGACCTACGCGGTGATGAATGAAGTGAAAGATGAAGGATTATGAAGATAGTCGCTTGCAGTTTCCGACTGACGTGTCACCTATACGTGAGAAATATGAAAACATGGGTATCATTGCAGATATAATCTGCAACACAGTCCTACAAAGAGCTTTTTTTTTTCGAATTTAATAGTTCGAATTAATTAGATCTTTGAGTTATAATCGGAGCGCCATGTTACGAATGCTATAGGAGACACCAAGAGCTAAAAATACGTGTATATGTATATATATATATATTATTTGTAAGTATTATTAGCTCTTGGTGACACGCACATGGGCACGCGGTCAGTATAACGATGAGTTATTCTGACCTATTCCAGGTTCAATCCCACCAGAGAAATGTAAATACATTAGTAGTCATTACATATTGTCAATGGCGGTCACCTTCACACACCTTCAACACAACTCACGCGTGGCTTTGCCTACCAATTAAGCAAATTGGGCTGGCTACGCTCCTGTATTCCCAGCGTATCATTATAAATCCGGTGGTCCGGATAGGGTGATTACTCGAGCTCGTATTCGCTTTCATCCTTCAGATCCATGGCACTGGTCGTAATGGCTGCGACGGAAAGCGCAATAGCTAACATCCGTTCGCTAACATAAGCGCATAAACCACGCCCACTTGATCAAGATTCTATCACCAATGCCCCCAAATATATCCGCTATCTATGACTATCTAGGTAAAATTTTCCGCTAATAATTCTTAGAATGCCAACACATTGTGTCCTTTTCCCCCCAACACTACTATTATTGTGTGATCTCTAACTAACAGATTACTAAATAGAGGGATTAACACTAAAAGGCCGCTGCAGCATACGGAGTTAGCGTTACTGCACCTGATGCACTGCCTGCTATAATTTCACCGGTAATATCTTCCATTTATACGGCAGCACGTTGCGAGGTGAAGGTATTTCCTGTGTAACCTCTTGTGCTATATACAAACAACGCAAGTTTGTCCATGAGGTTGGCTTAAATCGTGAATGGCTACGCCTAACTGTAAAGGTACACTAGACTAGACACGCGATTTTCAGGTAATACGCCAGTATAGGCAACAGAGAAAACTAAACGTAGAATTACCGTTGCCTGCATGCGCAAGCTACTTACAACGGCAAGAAACCGTTTGATGACATATTACATGTACCAACAGATAATCGGAGACAGCGGATAAACCTTATCCTTTGTAATGCTGTAGACGTTTTTTTACGTTTTACATCACCATAATTATTGTCCCATTAAACTATTAATTGCCATTATAGATATAGATTATGGATAACGAATCAAGTACTGCTCTGTCTTCGTTGTAATGAGATAGCAGTAGCACACAAAACTTTATTGTGTAATTTTAAAGTCGAATAAAAACCTGCGAAAGCCTTGAATTAACATAATCGTGCATATCAGTAAGGATTACAAGGTCAAAACGAAGCTGCCCTTTCTTGTGCCGTGCGTGCATGATGCATAAATCTCGTCTCTGGCCATACCATGGCATTCCTACGTTTACAGGTCATCACGTTTTCATCGCTATCAGTTTCATCTGACGTTCTCTTTTATGACTTCACTCGCGTACTGATCGTGCATGTTGCGCACGCTTCGCCCATGTGGATTTGTTCTCTGTATAAGTGCACAGGTGAAGTATTCTTTGAAGTAAGCTATACTTGCTTAAAAGTGCCGCGTACGGGTTCGCTCACATTACTAGGTGCGGTATTCCATGACAATGTTCTATACGCGATAGGACTGCAATTCTAAAACTCGAAAACATGTCGTTCATAGTTGGTTGTGTTTATATTTCCATTTACCATGACATGCGTGACATATTTTCAATTTCAATCCGAGAATGCAACTTATTATTCTATCAACGCCATTTCAATATTAGGTCGAAAGCGTAATCGATATATCGATATGAAAATACCTCTGACTCTCCCTAAACGTTATTCACTCGCTCGGCTCGGCACATGGTCCTTCAAATGTCACGTAAGCTTGCTAGAATAGACACATAATTGTCTTTCAACAGACATTCCTCGTTATGGCAAACTGTTGTTTGAATAGCTTGAATTTTTTATAACAAAATTCTGCAGCAACGTAGCACGAACTTTACATCGAGATGGCCCTGAACTATAGCCACCGTCACGCTAATAACGTATCAGAGCGGTCCACCCTCGGCCCGAGTGTTCCCTACTGGCGGCAGTCTATCTCAATTACTTTCACTTGGCAAATAAAGGCTCATTGTGTCGCGAACGGCGCGTGTCGCTCGCCGCAGTGGTCGGAGGGATTTCAAAGCCTGAACAAATAATATGGTCTTGCGCGTCCTTGCGTCCACGATTTAGCCCAGGTCTGCCGCCTTTGCTACCAAGGACAGGCGATGGTCGGCAAAGCGTATCGTAAACACCAACGGGGGGAGGGGGTATAGTGGTGTGGTAAGGGGCGAGAGAAATCCGAGGGCCATGTACCGACGGTAAACATTTTCAGCAACAACAACAAACAAAAAACAACAACAATGCCAGCAGCGGGTTGACCAGGTGCTCACCCCACCCGCCCGTCCGCGTCTACACACGCACTCCTGATTGCACACGGTCGTTCCCACCGTTAGTTTCGTAATGATTAAGACTCGCTAAGCACTCGTTTAAATCGGCCAGCGAAGCGTTACTGACTGACGATGACGGCCCCGACGACTTTCACTCGTTACAACTGCACCGTAGTCGCGAGCGACTGTCGGACGTCTAGTCCGCAGCATGGTCGTCTATAAAATTCGCTCGCCGTATGCCAATGTCGTGAGCAAGGGGATGCAGAGGTGAAACAAAGTCGGACCAGTTTACACGCGCGCACGCGATCGCTAGGAGATATTTGCGCATCAGGGAAGCAGCAGCAGCGGACGCGTCGGCGGAAGGTTTACAGCATCCGTCAACAACAAATACACACGCGGAGTACATTCGTCGATTCGCTCGAAAGTTAAAAGGTGAGTGCCCGCGTCATATAAGTTCTTAGTTGCGGCACGTTCCCCGCTCACTTTAGCGATGATAGCTACCCATTAATGTTTGATAACACTATAAGTAGCGGTAGCCGAAGAAATTCGTCTTTTATCCGTACTGTATATATATATATATATATATAGTTTACTGTATACAGTCGATAAAACATACATCAAAATGGATTTTTACGGCTTAAACCTAACGCGAATCAATTCCGTATAACCTATACGCAATCAGTTGGGTAGCAGCAGCCGAATGCGAGACGAAGATGACATTGCGTTTTTCTTAAACTGTGTTAGATCATCTTAGCAGACGGCGTAAGGACATCGCGTGAGATGAAAGCAATCAGCCTACTTGTCCTGGCCGTCGTGCTGGTACGTAAGTACACCCCGTTAGAGGACGTAGGTACGTAAGCGCAAATCCCGCGTTTACGCATCACCACCGAGGCAATGTTAAGATAGTTGGCATGCGCTATAATAAGGCGCTATGTAAGGCTGGCAATTAAATCGAATCGCCGCTATCACACACACACACACACGCACAGTCGCACCACACACGCACACAGCACACACACACACACACACACACACACACACACACCGCACACACACACACACCACGCACACACACACACACACACGACACACACAAACACCAGATAGATAGATAGATAGATAGAAATAGAATAGATAGATAAATAGGCATGATAGATAGATAAATAGATAGATGGATGATTAGATAATATAATCGATAGATAGATAGATAGGATAGATAGATAGATAGAAATAGATAGATGATAGCATAGAAGTAAGAGATAGATAGATAGATAGAGATAGATAGAATAGATAGATAGCATAGATAGATAGATAGATAGATGATAATAGAAGATAGATAGATAATAAGATAGATAGATAGATAGATAGATAGATATAGATAGATAGATGTAGCATAGATAGATAGATAGATAGATTATGATAGATAGATAGTAATAGATAGATCAGATATAGTTAGATAGATAGAGCGATAAAGATAGAGAGAGAGATAGATAGATCGTTAGATAAATAGACAGATAGATAGTAGATAAGATAGATAGATAGAGTAGATTACGATAGATCGATAGATAGATAGATAGATAGATACGATAGATAGAAAGATAGATAGATAGAGATGAGATAGATAGCTATAGATAGATATAGATAGATAGATAGATACGATAGATAGATATGATTAGATAGATAGATAGACCGATTAGACAGATTCGCTAGATGATAGATTAGATAGCTAGATAGATAGATGATAGATAGAAGCAGATAGATAGATAGATAGATAGATAGTA